TTAACATGAAGTTTTTCCTATTATTTATCTCATTCCACACTGTCCAACATTGTCATATACAGTGTAATCTTGGTCTAACTCTTGATTTAAGCTATAGGATGTTTACACTGTTGCTGCACCATCTATCAAATAGAAATACTGCAGGGTTTTTGTGCATCACTGAACAATATTTGGCTGCACAGGTAGATTTCCTAATGACTGACACAGCAGCAGACTGGTGCTTGTTTATAAGGGCTTTTTAATCTACAGCTATGCTTCAATATTTTCTGAAAAGGCTGTATGATTTTTATGTTGAATCTTAATCTGCAAAGTCACTCTTAAAGGACCGGTGAGCATCTAGTGTAAAGTGCCGTTCACACCAACTCAAAATACAGCTCAGCTTCTCAGCATGTAAGGAGAAACAATAGTGTCTGTGTTTGTGTTCCTATCTAAGAGCCAATGATCTGGTTGCCTAATTTCTGGCTACTGTTAGAAACATGGTGATTTAACAAGGCAGACTCTATAGAATAGGACCCGTTCCCTCTGTAGATAGAAACGGTTCATTCTATTGTAACGAAAACCCAGATTGTTATATTTACACTAATGAAAAATATCTATGAATATACTATTCAATTCTACTGGAAATATAAATGTATATTTCCCTCTGAATTGTAGTAGAATTTAAGTAGAAAGTAGCATAAAATTAACATTTTACAATTAACATTTTGTCTGGTGGCATCAGAGGGTGTTTGTGTTGAAAAACTCTGATTTCCATGGCGATGACAGCAGCTCCAACTCTTGGCCAGCAGAGGGCAGCATTAGATAAGGCTGTGTGTCTGTCCCCTATGTGAACGGGTAGTGTTCATACATTAAACCCACTAGATGAGCTCATTTGTTTTGTGTTTTTTTTATGCTTTATTGCAGTTCAACAGACAGGTGGCAGCCGTACTCCACAAAACAATCCTCTGTTGCTTTCTCAAATAAGTCTCAAGCTCATTTTTGCACATACAGTTGCATCATTCTTCCTAGAGATGTATCATCACAGGTCCCTCTCGTGGCTCAGTTTCTTATTGCTCTGTGCTGGGAAAATTACATTTTACTCTGCTGTTAACTATCTGAGACACACTAATGAAGACAGACTATGATTTTCATTGGTTAATGGCTGTATTAGAGGACATGTTCATGATTGTAAAAGGGTGATCATGATGATGATGTCTCATCTCATACAGTCAATTTTCTCTAACTTTGGATGCATGACCTCTTCTTTCAGGCTGACTATATCAGCAGAATGTCCCATGCAACTGGAGGATTTCCCAATGGACGCCCATGCTTGTCCCCTGAAATTTGGAAGCTGTGAGTAAACACTCTCGTAAGCAAATGCACACAGTGGGTAACAGCAGTTAATGCAGGAGAAGGTAGAGTGTGAATGTTTCATGTCAGCAGCCTGGGCTCCAGTGACATATGAGCACTGAAAGTGTTGCCAAATCTTTCTAAAAATACGTGAGGTCACTTGTGGGAAAAGAAGCGTGTAGTTTTGACATGGCTTCAGTTTCAGTGTCTTTATCCATGCAGGGGATGTGGGGATGAATGTACCTGGGTGTGTTTGACAGCCCGTGTCCCTCACGTGCAAAGCTATTGTTGTGGCGGTGCAGGAGATACCCATGTAGACACTGACACATTGCTCCTGATTAAGCCATTAATCAACATGTCAGGGCTGCTCTCCTGCATCCTTCACTGCCTCAGCTACATTTAATGGGAAATATTTGAAACACACAGTGGAAACAGCTAAAGGCACACACACACACACACCAAAACTACATTTACCAGAAAGGTAACCTTTAAAAATCCAATCCTACACCTTGCACATGCACAGCTAAACCACATTTGTGGCTTGTGTTCAGTCTTCCTCAAGACTCCTAAGCTAGTTAGGTTGCCTCACATAGCTCCAGTGGTACAAAAATATCTGGGGAGCTCCGTTCTTCTAAGCTTCAGATTAACATTTGAGGTCTTTCCTGCCACTGATGTATGGAGGGTTAATTTTAATTTTTATTTCCCGGCTTAACACGCACTGGGAGTATGCTCGGTGTCATGACCTGTGGATGGGAATATCACAGCAACCAACTGAGACGCATTGGCTTGGTGTACTTGGCAGCCAAGTATGTGATGTTTGATTAAGTTTATCAGGGAGCTCAGAAAGTCACAAAGCGCTGGCCCGAATTAGATCTAAACAAAGATTAAATACAGGTCTTGTACCTGGTGTCCCTGTGGATGCCATCCAGGATATTATATTCCTTGTGGGAAATATATATCCGAAAGAAGGTTTTCACCGCGTTGCTATGAGGTGGAATGTGGTGTCAGTAAAAATGTGGCTAAGTGTGATGAAAACAGTACTTTACAAATTATGGATGGAAATCATGGATAGACAATTTATTGCGTATTCTTTTTAAGATTTTCTGGAAATTTGGTCTAATTTTGTTCTACATTAGGAAACCGTACTATTGTTTCATTACGTTTATGTATTTAGACATGCTGTAATGTATTTGTAAGCTATGTGAGAGTATTAACTATTACCAAGAGAGGGTGAGTAAGCAAAGTGAAAAGGCACAGTAGTCCAACAAAACGATAAGATGCTTAACTAAGAATAGGAAGTATTCCGTTGACATAAAATTATTTTTTAAAACCACTGTAATGCCAAAGTATAAGTACAGCCTATGCGGGTTATAAGCTGTAAACGTTACCGTGGCGCAGTATATCCTGTTTTCTCCAACTCCATTAACCTTTGCTAATCCTTTGACCTGATGGACAGCACTCACCAACTGAGCTCAAGGCTTTCAGAGCGGACAGTAGACCTGTCCTTTGCTCTCTGTGTTAATCACATCTCATAGGACTCAAGCTCTTACATCATCAGTTCTCCTTCCCCGCTTCACGGTTCTATATACTGTAGGATGGAAAGTCTAAGTAGACAGTACACAGCTGTATCTTGCCCAACAGAAAGGAAAGGATATAATGCATGAAAGTGTTCGAATGACATAAATGCACTGACATGACAGTTAAAAATGTTATTTTGCTGCTGTTTGCTGTGTGATATTAAAGCGAACCACATACATCCTGTAGCTATGTCTGAGTAATATCCTCGTATTTGTTTTAATATCTGGTAGTCGGTCTTTTCGGTTGACAAAAAAACGGTAGACGTGGTGAAGTGTCATTTTGGTACCACAGGACATTCCAATTTACTCCAAATTTCTGTCATCTGTGATTTTATTTGGCTTAAATGTTTTAGCACATTATTCTTTCTAAACTTTCCACTGGGATTTTCTGTGTTAGTTTTCTTCTTTACCTATCACTTCGCACTTATTCGCTTGTCTGAATGAGTAACCAAAAAGGACCTTTTCCCATCCTCGTCTGCTACAGCCAGGAAACATTTAGGCTTAGCTTAGCATCACAGCTTCACCTCTCCGAAACGCTAGCCTGGTTCATTAAAGGTAAAAAAAACGGCTGTTGATGCCTTGTTAAGCTCACTTATTAAAGATTAATTAAGAAACTACAAAAAAAACCAACATTTTGTGATTTTACATATATATTTTTTGGGCAGTGTAGCTGTTCCCTTACTTCGAGTCTTTATGCTAAGCTAAATTAACAAGCTCTTTTCTGTAGCTTTATCTTTAATGGAAAATAATTGAAACTATAACACTGAACACACTGACAATACAGCTGAGGTCTGAAGAAAAATGACAGCCTTAGAATAAACTAAACAACAGCATACAGTGAGATGAGAAAGAGACAAAAAGAAATGAGTTGGTGAAGTTGGTAACTATTATATACCATACTGTTATCTTTTCTGCTCTCTTATTGAAATTTAAAACTGGTTTTGTACCTCTTAGTGAACACACATTTTTAACTATTATTTATGTAAACAGACTTTTTTATTAAATAATAATCAATTTTATTGAATTTTAGGATACACTAACTACGAAGTGTGTAGATGGATGTGGTCCAAACATGGTCCTCTGTAGCCTATTGGTATATTTGTACGTCTTGTAAGCCTTTCTGTGACTGCTCTGGCCTTAATTATACCCGTGTCAGATCACAGTAAAATGCTCCTTTTGTTGTTATTTTCTTGCAGCCCTTCTAATTCATAGCTGTAATAATAGAATTTTTTTGCTCATTTTCAGACAGTCTCAATAAGTCTTGTACTTCTTATTTTAGATCACATCCTGGTGCTCATTAAAGTGTGTCCCATGCTGAAATCATGCAGACAAAGCACTGTCTATGAAGCTGTATTCTTACATTTCTGTCAGCCCATTTGTCTCTTTGCGCTTAATGATGGACAGAAAACATTGGCGGGAATGTCAGACTTATTTCCAACAGCTGGATGAAAGGCAGCTTTAACTATTCACTGAGAAGTGTTGCGGAATAGCCTGTGGGGGGATATGCAGGGAATTACCAAAAGGGCGCACAGCAGGAGAAAGACTTGAAATAAGTCAGGGACCTGGGAAAAAGCTGTGTGTGTGGAAATTCACAAAGTGCCCACATTGACTTTGGCTTGTAAAGCAATTTGTTCTGAGTGCCCACTAAAACAAAGGATCAGAGATTTTGACCCATTCTGTTGTTCTCTATAAAAAACACTATACTCACTATATACTGTATATAGGTATAGACATTACTGCATCCACATCTCCACAGGTACAGTTAAGTATATAATTTATCTTCAGAATGACTTGTGACAATCATTAAGCTATCTATACTCCTCTACATGCTGAACATTACAAGTGTGCCTGTCAACTAAAGGTTACATATGACGATAGAGTTCTTTGTATTAGAATTATAGTATTTAACCACAGCTGCTATGAACTGGTAGGCATTTCAAATCAGGGATTCTCCCTAAATGTCAGTGCCTTAACATAATAGGAACAGCATACAATAATTCCACTGTACACACTCACAACAACTCTGGATGGTAAATTTACTCTAACCCTAATTTAAGGAAGAATTAATGTTTCATAGCTTTATAAGCTGGAGGTGGGCACAGGCCAACCAATGTATGCACCTGCTTGCAAACTTGAAAGAGCTGTGCATGAGGTTTGAGACAGTAAACAATATATTTAAACATATTTTGGGGAAGAATACGACATTTTTTAATACTGAGCATGTCATTGTGTTGTATTCAGTATCACTAGTCCTTTATGTTGATTTCATTTCTGAAAATACAATGCACTATACTCTGTCTCATACATTGTATTATGTAATAAGCACAGACATTAGAAATTGAGCATTACATATCATATGT